CAGGTAACCAGCCACAGACACAGCCACGGCATCACCTGTGCAGGTGTGCCACACCTGCGGGATCTGCCGCGACTCGTGGTTACCCCTGATCAGCGTGATCCGGTCCGGGTACCGCACCTGCACAGGTGAGACACACCTGGGTCACACCTGGGTCAGGTACAGCACACCTGAGACAGGTGAGACACACCTGGGTCACACATGGGTGCAGGGATCACACCTGTCCGGGTGTATCACACCTGAGCACACCTGTCCAGGTGTGTCACACCTGTCTGTACCTGTCTGTACCTGTCACACCTGTCTCACCTGTCCAGGTGTGTCCCACCTGTCTGTACCTGAGCACACCTGTCCAGGTGTATCACACCTGTCTGTACCTGTCTCACCTGTCTCAGGTGTCACACCTGTCTGTACCTGTCTCACCTGTCTCAGGTGTCACACCTGTCTGTACATGTCTCACCTGTCCAGGTGTGTCCCGCCTGTCTGTACCTGTCTGTACCTGTCCAGGTGTATCACACCTGTCTGTGCCTATCTCAGGTCTGTCACACCCCTCACACCTGTCTCAGGTGTGTCCCACCTGTCTGTACCTGTCTGTGCCTATCTCAGGTGTGTCACACCCCTCACACCTGTCTCAGGTGTGTCACACCTGCCTGTACCTGTCTCAGGTGTATCTCACCTGTCCACGTGTGTCACACCTGTCCCACCTGTCTCACCTTGAGCGCCAGCAGCAGCTGCAGGAAGGTCTCTCACCTGTCTCAGGTGTGTCACACCCGTCACACTTGTCTCACCTGTCTGTACCTGTCCAGGTGTATCAACCTGTCACACCTGTCTCACCTGTCCCACCTTCAGCGCCAGCAGCAACAGAAACGTCTCCACGCTGTCACACCTGTCTCAGGTGTGTCACACCTGCCCAGGTGAGCTCACCTGTCCCACCTGTCCCACCTATCCCACCTGTCTCACCTTGAGCGCCAGCAGCAGCAGGAACGTCTCCACACTGTCACACCTGTCTCAGGTGTGTCACAC